GGGCTGGGGGCTGGAATGAAATCAACAGAAGTTCTTCAAAGTAGATTTTCTCCAAGCTGAAGACACTTTCGCATCGCTAGGTGCTGTTTCTTGGCCTGGGTTACACTTCCTGTCTGACGAAGCCCGGGGATGAAGGTCCCCACAGACTTGACATCACTCTGGGCTTCCCAGAGAGGAAGCTGACCCTGAGCCTCTCAGGGCTTTTCTTGATTTGCTCAGAAAGCATGGCCTCGAGGGATTTAGAAGACACTGAACTCAGAGAGGAAATCTAATCATTCTCACTCCAGATTCTGCCCCCTCAGAAGTCTTTGTCACCCAGATAGAAAACAGAGATTATGCTTCTCCTTTGAATATATGATGTCAGGGTTAGTGTTGGGGTTGGGGTCTATGTGACAACGAGAATGGAGGACCACGCGGTTGAAGAGTGAGTTCAGTCAGAGCCCCCCAAACTTTCTCCTGTGTTCTAGGAATATAAGTGAAGCCACCTCCCAGAGCTCTGGACTTGGGATTTTTCATCTCTAAGAGCAGACTTCCTTCCTCTATTTCTAGTAACCACTATTTCCGTCTTCTCTGGAAAACCCACCAGTCACCCTGAATCTCTTTTCCATAAGAATTGAGCCACAAAAATAGAACCATGAGAAAAGCCAGATTGAGCACTCTGCCCTCCGAGTGAGAAGAACCTGAGGCAAGGAGGGGAAGACAACGTCTCTCAGCTGCTTCTTCCATGCCAAAGAAAAACAAACTGAAACTCAGAATCATAAAAAATGTTTTAAGTTAGTCATCTTCAGGAAGTGGTCATACTTGGAATATTCTAGTATTTCAGGAAGGAGCTTTAAATATAAGACCACTGAATGAGCCTTTACACAGCATATATGCTTTCCCAGGAACTATGGGTTACATGCTTGTGTGTTTGTTATTTCTTTTCCTGAGGAGGTCTATAATTTTTATCAATTTCTCAGCATCCCTCAAAGGTAAGGATTACTCCAAGGTTGACCTGACAATTATCTGTTGCTTTGTAACAAGTCACAGATAAAGGCGTCCAACCCCACTGGCATTATCAGTTCATGAGCAAGTCTGCTGAGTGACCTCTCAGTTGAGGCCCCTTATGCACTCAGGAAGTCAGCTGAGGTTTCTGTCACTTGAAGATTTGTTTTCAAGATGGCTCACCCACATGGCTTTTGGCAAGAGGTCTCAATTACCACACAGATCTCCCCACCAAACTGCTTGGGTATCCTCACAACATGGCAAATGCTGACTGCCTCGCCCCGTGGCCCATCTCCCCAGTGT